AGAATGAATGAGCATAATCTCTTACAGCTTTCATGAACCAGAAGGATTAATCTGGCAGTCCAGTCCCATACTCCACTTCAAGTATTTTCAATTACTTGGCACCGTTGGAGGTGACGTCCACGGCTCAGTAAGAAGGCTACTGCTGGCATAATGGTTTCTCCATGTCCCAGCACATGGTCTTGGCATTAATAATCCATCATGAAATGATTTGCAATGCACAAGGGTGACATTTGATTACGTGAAAGGCATTGCAGGAATGATCATGTAGGTTCTTAAGGCCAACTGCTGGCAAAAATATGATAAAATGTTATATGGTAAAAATAACATTTTGACGGTTTAGTTGAAACCACTGAAGACAGTTTCTGAACTGACCATGAAAAGTGTAAGGACATTGCTTTAGGAGAAATTTTCTTTCTTTTTTTTTTCCTTCCTGGTTTTCCTTTCTCAAATCACATTTTGGGGAGCCAAATAGGTTAAGATTTGGCAGCCAATCACCCAAACACATTTTCAAAACATATTTGATTCAGGAAATTCTGGATCTTTTAAAGCAAGGATGTTAACAATCCTCCTGGGAACCTTAAAATATGATGATTTAAACATAAGGAAAAGGAAACCCTGAAATGATCAGAGAAATCACCAAGAGGCTTACCTGCTGAAGAGTTCAGCTTTTTAAATTTTGTTTTCTATTTTTTAGAGACTATAAGGAGGATGGTAAATTTACTACATACGGGAAGTCTTATCATTTGGAGTAGAAATTTATGAGACAATAGGGAAATTCATAGTTCTCAAGGAAGCAAAAACAAAAACAAGAACATTAGAATTTCTTAGACTCATATCCTCTAGATCTATTTACTGATCTGTCAAAAGCATTATATTCTAAGTACATTATAATGAATGTAGTTATTACATATGAACAAACATACTGCATGGGTGTGTATGGCCAAATGTTGGTTATTTGAGATCATGGGTATAGGGTGGAGGGAAAGTTATTTTGCATAAATGAAATTCAGAGAGAATTAGAAGGTTTTTTTAAATCAATAGTTTCAAATTAATCCACTTTCAAAACTTTAATCACAGATATGAACACAATAATATCAGCTGATTTTAATGTTACTGATTTTTCCTTCCTAGCCCACCATCTTGCAGAGTGAGGTGAAATACCTTAGTTGATATATTATGTTGTATGTAATAGTATATATTGTTTTGTATATCTGTCAATAGTGATTATATTTTTTTTAAAAAGGACATATATAAACTTCATTGATTCTTCGGATTTGTTATTCATCATTTAGCTATTCATTCAACAACATTTATTAGGCACTTACTATATGCAAAGCCCAGTACTTGGCATCTTAGGGATATAAGGATACAGACTCTGTCCCTGAGGCCCTTACATTTTATTATAGGGACAGAACATGCACATAAGTAGCTGTAGCATAAGGTAAAAAACATTAAATACTAGAAGAGAAGCAGAGATAACTAACTGCACTGGAAAATCAGAAGAGGTAAAGATTTTTAGTGGGGAGCTTCAGGGAAAATTCATGGAAAATGTGATATCTAAGTGAAGTCCTGGAAGATAGTCAGGGTTTAGACATGAAGAGAAGGTGGCAACAGCACTTCATGAGTAGGTCATAGTATGAGTGTGGAGTGGCTGGAAGAGGTCAAGGCCTGGATGAGGGACAGTCAGGCTGAAGCACTGAGTGTCAGAAAAGAATTCAGGAGATAAAGCTGGGAAAGTTGGGGCTAGTTGTAAAGTCCTTATTGCCAGAACTTTAATAAGAAGGTAAAATACTAGGGAGCCATTGGAGCCATTTTTTTTTCTTTTTTACTTTTTATTTTGAAATAACTTTAGACTTATAGAAGAATTGCAAAGATAACAGAGTTCCCAGAAAAAAGTCAATATTATGTGCGTTTTTATGCTTTTTTAATAGTTCATGTAGTATTTTTATATCACACTCCTATGATTACATCCCCTTTCTCATGCTGAGAGTAGTGTAGGTTTTTTATTCTTTTTTCTTACTCACAAATGTCTTTCTTGTTTATCTTTTCAAATATATAGTTTTTCATTTTTTTGACCAGGTTTGCCAGTTTTTGCCCAATTTCATATCAGCTCCCCCATAGCTATCCTACATATAAATCAAATCTACCTTAAAACATAACAAAACAAAACCCAAAAAAACAGTGAGATCAATGCACAGAAGTCCCTTGATCCATCTTTTAAACAGAATGCTGTCCCTAAGTCTCATACAGCCACAGAGCTGTGTGACTTTTTGTCATGATCCTGCTTGGAATACGGTGGGCCATTTCAATATGAAAATTTGTGCTTTCCTTTAACTCAAAGAAAATTGCTTCTGTTACTTATTTCTTCCCCTTATTTCCTTTGTCTCTTTCTAGAACTCTTATTAGATTAATGTTTACCTCCAGGATTTATCCCCATGTCTCCTGTCCTCTTTTTCCATCTCTTTGTCTTTTTGCTCTAAGTTCTAGAAAATTTACTATTCATTTTTTACTTTGTTATCCTTTACTAATTTGGCTGTGATCTATGTCTATTCATCTGTTTACTCATTTTTTACTTGTTCTAATTATTGTTCTAATTTGGCAATCACACTTTAAATTTCCTGTTCCCTGCTTGCTTCTTTTTTCTTAGCTGTTTTAGGGATACTTATCTTTCCACAATTTTCTGAAGATAATTATTGTAATACTCTTTTACATACTCTGCTGCTTAAATTATTTCTGTTCTTTTGTTTGCTTGCCTTGGTCTTTTTAAAAGTTTTTTCTTTTGGATTTCTTCACATGTTTGGTGATCTTTAGTCCATTGACATTCATGGACAGAAAAAAAAGAACAAAACAGATTCATTTAGGTGGCTGGCAAAACCTTGCTCTGTGGCTGAGCAGCTCTGTTTTCCTAGGAGGCCTGCCCTGAATGGGAAGTCTGATGGGAGCTCTCTATGAGTAGGCAGACTTCACCTTGAACGCTTGATGATGGACCTGCAGACTCATGTGGATTAGGGAATCCTTTCCTCATTTGCTGCCTTTCCTCCCCCTCCCTTGCTCCCCATCCATGTCTAAGTGTCTAGGGTTCCATCAAGTTCTGTTCTAAGGCTTCTAGAGCCATTTTCAAATCATCCTCATCAGGCAGTTCACTTTCATTAGTCAGAGGTAAAAATCCACTGTTGACCACTGCTCAGGGTAGAAGGCAAGACCTCACTGGCTGGCGGTGTCAGAAGTTTTGAAAGCAGTTCTTTAAAATTACCCCAGGCTACTGTCAGAGTAAGCTTTCTGAAACACATTTGAATATATCATGCTCCTGCTCAGAATCTTTCAGGGATTTTGATTTTATATAGAATAAAACCTGTTCTTCTTTGCAAAGCATGAACACCCCTTATAGTTTGATATGAGTGCCTACCATCATCTCCTACTGTTTCCCTGTCACAGACACACTTAGGATCCCCAAATTCTGAAAGTTCTTGTGGTTTTCTCTTGTTCCATGCCTCTGTACACACTGTTCCCTATGCTGAGAATGTTATCTCTTCTTTACTGATTGGCAAAGACACCCTCAATTGTACATCTCAGTGTGTGATTGCTTCCCATGAATTCTTTTCTGACTTCCCTAGGCAGACATAGGTTTGTGGGTCTATTTATTAAACTATATCTTCCCCTTACTCCACAAAGGATTTGAAATAATATAAAACAGATACATGGTAACAGGACGAAATAAATGAGTGAGGCACACAAAGGATTTGAAATAATATAAAACAGATACATGGTAACAGGACGAAATAAATGAGTGAGGCACACTAAGTTCAAAGGGAGAGTAAAGTTAGAAATATAAATAATATCAAGTATGAGGTTAGTCCTAAAAATTACACGACAGTAAGTTTTATAGACATACTACAAAGAGATACACTGAAATTTTGCCTCTGGGCTTCCTAGTTGTCAAAGCTAAGAGGGAAAGTTGAGCGCTTCTGAGTTTCACATTGTCCGTAAACTATAAACGAAGGATTTTTGCCAGTTATTGAAAATTAAGAGAGAGTTTACTGCACTAAAGGGGTACTTATAAAGGTGACTGGTAAATTGAGAAGCTCCAACTTTTGTGCTTTCATTGACCCTCTAATATTACTATGTAATTACTATAATTTTTGTACATTTCTTTCCTTAAGGTATGGACCATATCCTCATTACTTGATCCAGTGCTTGATATTTCCTAGTCACTCAGTAAGTATTTGTTACGCACACAATCAGATACTGATTGTTAATGCAGACAAATGTTTTTGTGTGAACAGGTGTACAACTAGAAATGTATCATCTTTTATACCCATCATAAACATAACAAAGAATTAACCAACTGGAAGAGTCTTTATACTAATTATCAAAATAATACTTGGAATAACTGCTATATATCAGATAAACACATTGCATGTATATTTCATATGACTCTCAACCTACCCTGTGGGTATTATTCCCCATCTCAAAATCAGGGGAATCAGTAAGTTAAATAAATTTCCCAAGGGTCTACAATTATTCAGAGGCAGAACTTGGGATTGGCATAGGTGCCTGAACCCAGCCCTGTGACCCTCAACCTTTGCTATAGGTTCATGCTTTCGTGTGTAGTAGATTGATTAGTATTTGATTACAAATTTCAAAAACGTGAAGACTTTCTACTGATGGAAGGGCCCTGATGCAAGGACTTTGCCCAAGTTCCTTTGTTCTTTAAGATTTATTCTAAAATATTTGACGGAAAAGGCAGCAGCAGTCAGGCAAATAAAATACTATAAAATTCATTTTCCATAAAGAAATATCAGGGGACAAACACCCTAATAAAAAAATACTTCCCATTTAAAAAAATGGGAACATCTGACCAATTTTTCTGTTACATAATGGAATGTGGCACAACTTTTTTCATTAGACCCAAGAAAACTTACAATGTACCATTTTATGAAAGGGCTTACTCTGTTTTAACTCAATCAGCTTTCACTGATCAATTTATGGTTGCTTCTTACCTGAAAGTTGCCAAAACAGCTTCCCCCTGGGAGGGTCACATAACTCACAAAGGGTGGTCCAGGAGACGGCAGCGACTCGTAGACCACCACACCTTCACTTGGGAACGCAGCCCTCTGTTGCTGCTTGCTTTCCCAAAATTCCTGTAACATTGACACAACATTCACTGAAAAAGACAAGAAATATAATCAGTTATTAAGGATGGACATACCCTAGCAAAAACAACATTTTATTTGCGGGTTGGATTGTGTAACAAGGCACTTCCAGTTTAAGCAGAAGGGAGTACGTGTATGTTTGGGTGGGGTGGGGGTGTGGGGTGCTTTCAGTTGTGAAAGAAACAAATACTATTTAACACAAATGTGTTTATTTTTTCATGAGTATGGCTTAAGTGGTTTGGCACCCTAATTCTAACAGCATTGCAGTATAGTAAATTTACAAATGAGTTTTTGATAACAAATTTTAAAATCTCACTCTTCCTTCTTTGAAAATTTTCCTTAATAAACTTTGTCCCGATCTATGGTTATCCATGACTCCCACTCCTGTTTCTCATAGATTCTTGGACCTGCAAAGTGAAAGCTAAATTCAAAGGTAAAAATATGAGCAGTGTAATTTTTTTTTAATTTATTTATTTTATTTGTTTTATTTTTGGCTGCACTGGGTCTTCATTGCTGCACATGGGCTTTCTCTAGTTGCAGCGAGCAGGGGCTACTCTTTGTTGCGGTGCAGGGACTTCTCATTGCGGTGACTACTCTTGCTGCAGAGCGTGGGCTCTATGTGCGCAGGCTTCAGTAGTTGTGGCACGTGGGCTCAGTAGTTGTGGCTCGCGGGCTCTAGAGCGCAGGCTCAGCAGTTGTGGCACACGGGCTTAGTTGCTCCGCGGCATGTGGAATCTTCCCGCACCAGGGCTGGAACCCGTGTCCCCTGCATTAGCAGACGGATTCTTAACTACTACGCCACCAGGGAAGCCCCAAGCATGTAATTTTAATTGGAACTCACCTATTACAAGATTTAAGAGGAGAAAGGCAGAAAGAAGAAAACTCTTTCATGCTCCTTTCCACCCTAATCCAAAGGAGAATGAAAGCAATTGTGTAATAAGCAGGAGGCTGGGAAAAAAAAAAATAAGTGAAACTAATAACATGGAAACCTTGTTAAGGACCACGTCTGTTAGATGACTTCAGAAAACGTAGTAATGGCTACAGCCATGTGTTTTAGATTAAATGACCTATGATAGCCTGTAGAAGTTCCAGATCAAATTAGGTTGGTTTGTTTATCCTGTACTGCAAATTGAATTGTGGAAATTAACAAGGATAATAGAATTGTAGAGGCAAAAGAGACCTTTCAGGTCATGCAGGCAAAGCTCTGCTTGATGCAGGAATTCCTTGCACAATACCACTGACAGCTGCCCATTTGGCCTGATTCTGGACACACGGAAGGACCGGGTAATTGGCACATCTTGATGTAGCCCATTTCAAATGCTAATGGTTTTAACTATAAGAAGGTCATTTTGGGGAGTGAGTGGAAATCTGCTTTCCTATAAGGTTCATGCAAGTGGGCTATTTCTCATTTCTGGGACCTTATAGAGGTTAATCTCTGTATTCATAAGAGAACCCATGACATAATTGAAGGTGGTATAGGACATCTGTTGTTTTTGCCTCCCTGGCATTTGTTGTCCCTCTTTGTAGGAATAGCACGAAAGTTTTCCTTAAAGAACCATCTTTCCTTCAACCAAGTCTTCTCCAGGGTTGAGGAGTGGGGATTAGACCAAAGTCAAGTCATTTAGAGTCAATAAGTCCAGGACTTTTGTTGGAAATGTCAGAAGACTGGATTCTCCTTTTTCACTAGAGTTACTGGGGTTATAGGAGAGAAGTATGGTGCTGCCCAGGCAAGGGAGACTCATGGCTGAAAAGAAAGCCAACATAGAGAAGGGTAGAACCAAGAGATAGAGAAAAGAAAGACTAAGTTCTGTTGTCATAGCTTAAGCTCCTGAACCAACACATCTGCTTTTACCTTAAACCGTTTTGAATTGGCATCTCACACTTGAGTATAAAAGTGTACTAAAATAGACAGCTCTCAGGTTTCCTCAGGTTCTAGATTGAATAGCTTTTCTTCTTTCAAACTTTCTTTGTGTAATATGGTGTCTATGCCCTTTGACATTCTCCTGATATATTTCTGAATACATGTGCTTCAAAATGCTGGGTTTTGTTATTTTGCAGGGAATCAGGAGAGTCACAGAGTTTGACCTGGAGCCAAAAACATTGCACAACCACTTTCTAAGCTGTTGACCAGAGCACCTGGCTCTTTCACTTCATTCCTAGGTCACCCATCAGCTTCCAGCTTTATAAGGTGTATGTAGTTCAGGAAAATTTGCAAGGCGCCCAGGGAATTGGATGCCTGTGTATATTTAAGAACTGTAGTTTTTAGTATTTAAGATGTGTTTTGGGAAAGAAACTGGGAAATATAAGACTATCAGAGGGAATAATTGAATTAACCAATAAAATACGTGCTAAGTGGTCAAGGTGAGCTTGGTAATTACAGATATTTTTCATTCATTCAAAAATATTTGAAGTAATATTTTCCACCAGTTGATGTAGCCCAAAATAGAATTAGAACTTTTATTTCCTAAACTGTATTTCTGCTCCCCAACTTCCTCTCTCTCCCATGTCCAGGAAAACAAGTATTTTGTGAGCGGGCTGATTTGTGTTTCAATTTGCCTGTGACCTACAGAATTCAGCAGAGATGTCTTGAAGATTGAAGCCTAAAACCGAAGTCAGTGGTCTGTTGCCCTGATAGTCAACAAGGGCCATTAACTGGCTATTTTAAGTTGGTTCATTGTTGAATGATGTTCAGCTGAAAACTGGAGTAAGAAGCTGAAGACTCATGCTTTTCTAGGTAAAATGAACACAAGAATTTTGGCACGTAAAACTGTGTGGATTAAAGAGTTCAGAGGTGGCTACTAAGTAAAATTTCTGCATGAATAAATGTAGCAGTTTTCAAATTTTTTATTCTGCAACCTTGGAAGATTTCTTTGATGGTCTTACGTATGTCATCACCTCTAAAGAGTGCAACATATGTACATGCACACACACAATCCATCTTTCTATCTCTATCTCCTCGTGTCGACTGGAAAACCAGATGAATGGAGTGCAGAGGGAAGAAGGCCAGCATGCTGTTTGGAATTTCAAAGATCAGTATATCTGAAGATGCTCTATTTATGAAACACATGCTCCTTTATTTTTTTGAAGTAGCAACAGCAAGGTTCATGGACAATGTCAAAGAAAAGGCAAGCAAAGGGTCAAGTACTGCTGAAGAAAACCACCCAAATTTGAGGAAAGGCCTCAGAACACAGTTTAGTCGCCAGCTGCAGTTGCACCTTCAGAGCCCAGCCAATGATCCTGCCTTTCACGTTACAAACTTAAGCCACCAAGCGTGTGATATCCCTCCCTACATCTAGTGACCCATCTGCACAAGTGCCCAGCTCTACCTTATTTCCTTCAGTCTCAAATGAAGTTGTGTTTCTTCTTCTGGGCATTGTTCTATTAGTAATTCTCTTGGCTTCCTATTTTTAAATGTTTTCTCTTTACTCACTCCTCAGCGGCCATAAGTATGCTCAAGACAACAAATAAATGAATAAATGAATGAGTGAATGAATCAATTAAAAGAAACACTCAACCTCGGGAATATTCTTTTTTTTGGCCATGCCATGTGGCATGCAGGATCTTAGTTCCCTGACCAGGGATGGAACCCATGCCCCCTGAGTTGGAAGCGCAGAGTCTTAACCACAGGACGCCCAGGGAAGTCCCCCTGCCATTCATTTTTAACCCACCAACAGTCTGGCTTTCCTCTACATTACGCTACTGAAACTACTTGGCAAATATCACTAATTCTAACTTTCAGTCCTTATTTACTTGACCTCTAACTGCATTTGACACAGCTGATCAATTTCTTCTAAAAACTCTCATCTCCCTAAGCTTTTCTGACAGTATTATCCCTGATTGTTCTTCTGTATTTCTATCATTTCTTCTCAGTCTCTTTTGTGGGTTTCTCTTCCTCTGCTCACCCCTCATGTTGATTTGCACGAGAGCCTTATCCTTGTCTTTTCTTGCTTCTCTCTCTACTGTTTTTGAATGACAGAACCTATTTCCATGAATCCATCTACCATAATATATGCCAATAGTTCCCAAAACATTCTCTTGTAACTCCAACTTTGTTAACAGATACTTCCATTTGGATGTCACAGAAATTCAACATATTCCCAGACTCAACCCATTTTCTTTTCCATAAACCCTTTTCCCAAATTATTTAGAAAGTGATATAATCATATACCCAGTCACGTAAATCAGAAACCTGACAGACACTTTAAACTTAATTTCCTCTCTCCAGATCTAATAAATGCCCAGATTTTGTTAGTTCCATATCCTGATGTCTCTGATAGTCATCACTTCCTCTCAGTTAATATTGCCACTGCTGCATTGGTTCATATCTAACCAGATATACCACAGTACCCACTTGACTCCAATCACCCTCCCATCCAACCCATCCTCAACTGTTTCCAGGTAATCTTTCTGAATCTTATGGTTAATTAAATCACTCACATCTTAAAATCTTTCTGTGGGTCCTTCATTACCTACAGAACAAATAACTTCTTGGCAAGTCATAGAAGACCCTATGTCTTGATACTCTCTCATTCCAAACTTCCTCAAGTCACCTTCCAGGTCCCTCAGGCTCTCATGCTCCCAGGCCTACTGAACCAGAATCTACATTTTAAACAAGATTCTCAGGCAATCTGATGCACACTAAAGCTTGAGAAGTCCTGAGTAGGATAGGACAAAGTTGCTATTCTCATCTCTCTTATCATGTGCCTATTATATGCCAGGCACTAGGCATTTTCTCATTTAATTCTTACAACAGGTATTATCATCCACAACATAGAGATAAGAAATAAAAGATGCTCAGGATACGATCACACAGCTACTAAGTCTTAGCCTTGGGATTTTTAACCTAGTTTGGTCTGGGTCTATAGTCTAGCTCTTTGCTCATCCTGAGCCACTCCTAATTATAATGGAATTTAAGTTGTTTTCATGCATGTCTACATCTATTAGAAGCATTTTAGAAGAAGAATAAAGGTTAATTGAATATTTGAATGTCATCAAAGGTATGGAAGATGTG